TCTTTGTCATTGAAGAGCAATGTGGCCCCTCCCCTTCCCTCCCCTCCCCTCCCCTCCCCTGCCCTGCCCTGCCCTGCCCTGCCCTGCCCTGCCCTGCCCTGCCCCTCCCATTGAAAATAGAGCTGTGTTACATATCTTATCTTTAATTTAATGCTTTAATTTGTGTCAGCTAAGAAATAAACCTCTCAGACTATCTCCTTTTCTGTGAGGCAAAGAAGAAGACTTCTGACACCAAAGAGGAGCCAGGTGTGGGTGTTGTGGCTAATCCTTATACTGGGTGCCTCTAAGTATAAACCTGCTTTTTATGCGGGGTTATCATGCTAATTAGGCACAAAATACCTCTCTTAGGGTCAAATTAAGCAGATGCTGTCTTAAGGAAGCCAAAAAGGCCAAAACTAAAACATTGAGATGCGTGGCAGAAGGTTCAAAGCTGGGTGAGTTTGACTGTTCTGGACATTCTCAGATAGTCCTTTGAATTTGGTTTATATGATTAACACATCACAAAAGAAAAGTATTTGTGTACCTATGAACAGATAAGCTGGAGGCATACTGAAATGTGAAGAGAAATTAAGTAATTTTTATTGACTTTAGTTAGTTTCAGATTGACGTTTTGGATCCTGTCCCTCTTAAAATCAGAGGGAAGAGATCACAGATTTAAATGCAGATTCTCCATCATGTTGTTTTGGTTTTCTATGGAACTTCATTAATTTCAGTGGCACGAAATGATGACTCAAGACAGCACAACACCCAAATTTCAAGATGTTAATGGTTTTCAATGGATGGGAGGCTGGATTCTTAGGCCATAAAGAGATTCAGACCAGTATGCAACAGAACTCAGATTTTAGAAAGTTCAGATCAGAGTACAAGATAATCCTACTGAACTTGACTGTGAATGATAAAAGTAGTCAACAGCATATTTTCTGCATTAGTCTTACTCTATGGGATTGGATTTGAATTTGGTCACTGCTTTATTGTCTTTTTCTCCTCAGTGTGGAAGGAGGAGAGCTATTTGACCGAATTATTGACGAAAACTACAATTTGACAGAGATGGATACTATCTCGTTCATAAAGCAGATCTGCAAGGGAATTCAGTACATGCACCAAATGTACATTCTTCATTTGGATCTCAAGGTAGAGTTTTGAGATGTATGTTTTGTGCAATAGACAGATGTGGAAATTCCATTCTTAATGGTAGGCCATAAAGCTTAGCAGATTCCTGTGGCAGAAACAACAAAGAGCCTTATTCTGCTTTCCTTATTTCAATGCATATTTACTTTAACCACATTGAGATCAGTTAAATTACTACAGGACTAAATAAATTAGATTAAAATTGTGGTCATATGTCATCAAGCTTCATAGTGCTTAAATTTTCCACAGACTGATTTTAAAGAAAGCCAGCAGCTGACTACAAATATGTTGCTATTTTTAATTTCAGTATTTAGATCTCAAGATATTGAGCAACTGTTATTTAATTCAACTGCATAAGATACATGTTTTATACAGCAGCCATGGGGTCAAATTATCTCTGTTTTTACTATGCAGAAAGGCATGAGTGAGTGGAACTAAATTCAAGGGTCATTCAGGATCAGTGTAAGCCCATACAACCTTCTGAGGACTACACTAAACTGCTGTTGTTATGAAAAGGCATCAATAGATAGCCAGATTAAGGGGAAGCACATTAAAAAGTACTTTATGAAATGAAAGGAATAAAAATAGTCAGTGGATAATGTAATGAATACAGTGTGTCTGTGTTGGATTAGGCAATGGCTGCTAGTGTAGCTGAAAGCCCAGAGAGAGGTGGTAGATTCTCTGCCCTGTACTCACACATGTACAAGTACTCTACCATGGACTTGCACATTCTCACTCTGGTCAACTGAAAATGGTCAACTGCCACCCCTCAGAAAACATTTGTTATTATTTTTCATTAAACTGTACACTTCAGCTGGCTCCTTTTCCCTTAGCCTACGTTCTTATTAAATAATGGACTTGTTTATTACCTCTATTTAGTGCAGGAATAAAATGGGATGATGTCTTTAGTTTTATGACTGGCTAGAAAGCTTCCTAGTGATCCCTGAGATTTACAATACAATAAAAAGAAACAAGGAGTGCACAAGATGTTTTTCTCTGGTGAGATTTTTATAACAGCTGCTGGCTTTGGCCTGTAACAACTGAGTTAATATAGGACATCTTTAACGATGTTAGCATATATATATATTATTGCAGTGGTTAAGGAAATGAGCAGATGCTTGTTGGGACCTGCTTCAGTAGCTGATCATTGACCAGACTTGCTTTTCTCTTTCTCTACAAACATCCAGTTACCTAGAAACCTGTCAAACAGAAGTTCACACAGTTCTTTGGGACACATTAATTATGATCTTGAGATGGCACAGTTTTAATATGAGGTCAAACTGCTGACAAAAAGATACATACACAATCCAAGAAATTAATCCCAGAGACCTCTTTTCATCTGCTCGCCAGCTATGGCTTCTCCCTTCTGTTTTGCTTGTTCATAGATTGCTGTCAGTAACAAATGAGTTTAGGAAAGAAAGCCTGAAATTGAAAGAAAATCATCTTGACCATAATCATCCAGGACATCAGAAACTATGGACATATGGTGTTTAAAAGTCCTACATGTAAAATGAATTAGTAATGGTGACAAAGGTTAACTAATGTTTTAAGTGTTGAGGGCTGTTTTGTTTCAAAGAGGACTCACTGAGCAATAAGACAGAGTAGCTATAAAAGTGCTGGCAGGGAATATGGGACTGTGCTTTAGGTATTTACATTTCAAAGACAATTGGCCAAATCCTTCTCTCAGTTCCTTCTGTAAGAATTTGGAGTAATTCTTGGAAATTAATGGATTCCTGCCAGGAAAGTGAAGAGTAGCATTTGGCCCTATGAAAACCCAGAGGGGTTTAACCTGTGAATCCTATTTTTTGCTAAAACACCTGAAAAAAACATAAAGTTGATATTACTGGCTTAATATATGAATGTTCAATCTGACAGAACATGTAAGAACTCAGAAATGTAAAGCTGTAAGATAAATTTCAAAGCCCCAAAAATTTATTAAAAAAAAGAAATCAGTGTGAGCTTATTAAGGTCTGTAAAATCACGTGAAACTCCTCCTTGGAAGTCTGCACTCCCTGTCCCCCTCTCCCTAATGCCTTCTTTTTCTGAGTTGCTGCCTTATGTCAAATTCAAAAGCCCTGGAGACAATAAAGCTGTTGGGAAGCACAAGATGCATGGCTCTGATTGCTGTGTGACAGCAAGCAGGGTATCCATGCAGAGAGATCTGAACAAGGAGAAAACCAAAAGGTGCTTATGACATATTTACACTGTTATTAGTGTTATTCTCACTGCAGTTTACTAAAAGCACAGTTTTTCATATTTTTTTCTCATTCAAGTGCTTTTTGTTTGTTTTTTTTTTTTCTTTTTCTCTTGGCAGCCTGAGAATATCCTGTGCGTGAACCGAGAGGCAAATCAAATAAAAATTATTGATTTTGGATTGGCAAGAAGGTACATGCATGTGTTCTCACTAACAATAAATTAATTAAGAAATAATGAAAAAAGTATTGCATCCCTGCCATGATGTGTTTGATACATAATGGTCTTCTACTATTTTTAGGACAAGTTTGTTTCTTTTAACCAGGGATATATTTTAATATGGAATGTTTGGAGCTGAGTGAAAAAGATTTGTCCTGAAACCTTCTTTTCAGGTAGAAGGTTGAAAGAGGGCTGATTCTCACTAAGAATGCATATAAGTATATTGGAACAGCTAAAACACCACAAAACCAGTGGCACATCTTGTCTAGTCTCTTGTCTCCAGTATTAAGAGATTCTTCCAAAGAGAGTGTAAGATACCATTGAGGGCTCTTATGATATACCCCATGCTATAACCCTTTCTAGTTTATTAGGTGCTATAACCTCAGTGAAGGATTTACTGGTTAAAAATTTCATGCCTATGATATGGAGAAGTCCCAAAAGCATGGTAAGAGCTGCTCTGAGAAGTCCTTGAATTATGAATTTCTTCCTTTTTGTAGCAATTGCATTTTGTCCTAGTATGATAGAAAGCTTGAAAATACTTTTCATTCTATATATGGGTATATTTCTTTTTAGTTTGTGCCTCTGTCTATCCTTTTTTCCCTACTGAATTTTCTGTATGCTTCTGGAATTCCTCTAAGTGCTAGACCATTGATGATGCAATTTTAATAAAGAACTGTAATTGATGTCCTTTGTTAATGTTTCCATATCCTAGATATAAACCCAGGGAAAAACTTCGAGTTAACTTTGGGACTCCAGAATTTCTTGCTCCTGAAGTTGTGAATTATGAGTTTGTCTCTTTTCCTACAGACATGTGGAGTTTAGGAGTCATTGCTTATATGCTGTAAGTAGGATTCATTATCTGCTTTGTAAGCTGCTTCCGTGTTGAACTGTATCAGTCATCCAAGTTTGCTGTTATACTGGAAGTGTGACAAACTGTGTACCCAAAATGGGAAATGTAAATTTCTTTCTAAGTTCCATATTGAGAAATCTCTCCTCTTTTCCAATTGCCATGAAGTTTTTGTATTTGGCTTTTTGCACATCTCTCAGGAGTGTTTGAGCACCACACTTCCAGAATAATGTAAAATTGGTAAATTCCCAGTGGTTAGTATAAGCGTGGTCAAAGGTCTAGAAAATATGATCTACCTTGAAAGACAGTAATTCTTGGTGTGTTAGAGAGGAGGGGTGATTATTTAAACATTTAAATAGATGAGAAAATGGGAATGGTCTGGAGATCTTCTTAGAGAGTAGAATTTTGTAAGATCAGCCAGAATGACAGAACAATCTCAGCTGGCACATTGGAGACCATGTACAGGAAGAAGGAAAGACAGGAGTACTGAACATATTCCTTTTTACTTCAGCCTCACTGGATTGTCTCCTTTCTTGGGTGATGATGACAATGAGACCCTCAACAATATCCTGGCCTGTAACTGGGATTTTGAAGATGAAGAATTTCGAGATGTTTCTGATGAGGCCAAAGATTTCATATCAAAGCTTCTCATCAAGGAGAAATGGTATATAATCCTGTATCTTTGAAATGTGTATTCCATGTCATCATGACACATTTGTGTCACTTGTGCTGCTCCATTGCAGAATTAATATGACTTATTATTAGTTTTTTTATGCCCACATAAATTATAATGTATTATAATGACACTTCATTGATGTTGTTCATTGTCTCCATCAAATGCTTTGAAATTACCTGAATACGTTTTTGCAGTAAAATAAAACTTAATTAACCTGCCATCTGTCATGGATGTTCTGAAATGACAGCATTGCATGATGGCAGAACACATGACCTGCAGCAGATAATTGCTGAATTGTAAGATTCTGGGAAAAACTCCTAATAGCATTCTGGTTTTCCTCTAGCTGGAGATTAAGTGCAACTGCTGCCTTAAAACACCCATGGTTAACAGACCACAAGCTCCACTGCAGACTTCAGGTCCCTACATTTAAATATCCTTGTGCATCTGCTGTTGCCCTCTTGTGTTGCCACATCACTTTGCTTTTACATTTTTTCTTAACTTCATTTGAGTCTTTGTCACTGATTCATTTCTTGCCAATGGGAGCCACATGTGTCCCATTGCTTTTTTTTAGTGGTTAGAATTTGCATGCTCACACTTGCTTATCAGTTTTTGCATGTCTGGGAGGAAATATAAGATCCTGCAATGCTGTGTGTTGCTGACTGGATTAATTTCTTAGCCAAATGAAAGTATTTATAAAATGAGCACTGCGTTGCCACATGAAAAGGATTTTCCAGCTCGGTATTATTCTTGTTCCTGCTTTGAAAACCCTTTCAAGCTCTTCTGAAGATGCCCCTGAGTACTGTTTCATCCTACCTCTTCCAAAGAGACGCCTTTCCCAACAGAGCTTGGAAATTCCCCTGGTGCATACTGTTGTACTTAAGCACCTTCTTGCCCTTCAGTGGTAGCCAGCTTAGTGGCCAGCACAGAAGGAGTAGTTTGCTCAAGCAAACAATTCAGTTAGGCTGAGCTGGAGGAGCAACAAGACTTTAAATTACTTTGGTTATTCCTGTTATTCAGTAACTTTTGAAGATTCACGCTGTTGGTGACACCTCTGTTGGCTGTTTCTAAGTGAATCCACTCTGTGGTTTAGTGGTTCACAAGAGGATAATTTTAAGCATGTTTCAGAATTTTTACAGCATTTGAAGTGCAATATTCACTTCTTCCTTTGCAGGCAAAGCACTTTTGGGTTAAATAAAATGACTACTGTATTGCCTAGGATGTATAGGTCAAAGTGCATTTTCATATACAGCCATCATTAAGAATGAATAGATGATATTAATTAACAAAATAATGTTATTAAAATAGGAGCAAAGATTATCATGATAATCACGCAGTTGTAGCCCTGGCAGTGGGATGGACTGAATAGTGTATTTACAGCTCTGCCCTTGCAAAATATTCCTGTTATAGACGAAGGATAACCGGAACTACTATAAAATAAGATATAAAAAAATCAAAGAAATTACTCTAATTTTCATTTAAATTTACTTTTCATTGTAATCTCCCAGAACAGCAATTCCCATGAGATTATCAGAAGATTTTTAAGTGTGTGTGCACAGTAAAAATACGAAAACTTGTCATGGTTAATATATCTTCAGAAGTTTTCATAGGATATAATTTTACTCCTTTAGTTGGGCTCCAGTGAAGTTCTGATTTCTGCAATCTCAGGAACAGTCTTTTCCAAATGCTGCAAAAACACGAACTGCTGTCCTTCTTATCACCAAGTTTTTTCTCAGGAAACCCTACCCTAATGCAAACCTTACAGCTCATGTTGTCCTTTGCATCCTCTCCCCCAGTATTTTTTATTCATACTTGTGCTTTGCAAAATAGCTTCACTAAACGTGCCGATGTTGCAGTGTTCTTCTGCCATTACCTTAAGTAGAAGTAAGATACAATTGATCTTCAATTAGTGTTTCAATAATGGTATCTTTTTTTTTCCCTGCTTAGAAAAAGGCTAAAGGTGACTGTGTGTCTCAAGCACCCCTGGCTCAATAACCTCTCTGAAGGAGCTGCCAAACAGAAGGTTTGTTTCAGGTCCCAAATATTCCTTCAGATGTAAAAGCTGTAGCCCCTGTGGAAGGGATCAGTGGACAGCTGAAAACCTGGTGTAGTCCAAAGTGCACGGTCCAAACTGTATTCACCACCACCACCCCTGCTGCTGTCTGGAAAGCATTCAAAATGTAAACTGGCTCTATTACTTACACCAAGTAACAGCAATGTGCAAAATAATTAATGGGTATGGAGCCATATGTGCTGCAAAACCTGACCATTTTAGAGGGAATGGTTATGCTCCCACTGGCTCTCATGGGGCAGGATTTCACCCAATAATTTTTCAGTGTTGAAAGCTTTTGGGTTTTCATGCTGTGGTTAGAAGTACAGTTTAAAAAGGGTAGAAATATGAAAAATAATAACTTTTTAGCAGAGGCACGGGCCAGACCCTCAGGGCAGCTTGACTAACTGCAGCAAAACCAAAGCAAGGTGACCCCTGAAAGAAGCTGCTCCACGTGTCTGAGGGCCCAGTTCTGACATGGCACTTACCTTCTCTTATAGCAATCCAAACAAGTTTGACAGAGCATCTCTCTGTCCTTTTTCCCTGGCTCCTTGTCTTTGCCCTTTCATTAACAAACAGTTCATTAGTGGTTCTCAGGCTGGCTTGGTTGCCTCCCCTGGGGATCAGGGAGACTCAAGTCTGGTCTGTTTCTCTGTCCCTGGTCTTTGACCAATTCACACTCACTCAGCCACTTTGAAGTCGTGCTGCCTCAGGTGGTGCAGTATCCTCATAAACCGATACTCCAATTCTCATAGCCACTTTCACCAACTACCACAGAAGTTGGTGGCTCTGTTCAAGGACCAGGGGAAATGCTCAAAAGTTCTGAAGGCCATTTCTGGGCAAAACTCAGTGGAGGGTCAAGACATGAATTAGGCTGAGAACACACACATGCTGTAAAACCACTTCCTTTTAGTAGTGCGTCATGAGTAACAACAGGATGCCAAAATAAAAGTAGTACACCTTTCACCACTTGCCAAAAGGCAAATTTTTAGTGGTGCCATCATCCATCATCTGCTTGGTAGGACAAGTGATATATTGGCTTTTTTTTGCAACAAGTTTTTTCCAGGAACATGTGGAAAGCAGAATATTGTGAGAGGTTGAAATTTGTTCTGACTAAGTAAGATTAGAGCAGATTTTATACAGTGTAGTGTAGTAACACAGAAGATAATGATCTTTACATGAGCTATTTCAGACATGAAGATGCCTTTCCATGATACAGTGGAAGCCAGTAAGGACTAAGGTACCGTTTTTACATCCCACTTAACTCTCTGAAGCCATGCTACTTCCTGATACAGTAATAATATCTAGGCATCAACTTCTGGCATAGAAATCCAGTGGGAATTTATACCTCTTTGTGATCCTTCATATTCACCCTCACTTCACTGGTGCTGAGACAGATTCTGTGAAGCTTTGGTCCACTCACCTGTGTGCTTCTACACGGTAGTTTTCTAAGCAGGTTTTCCAGTCCTGTTGCAAGATTAGTGTTTGTATCTGGATTTCCCATTTCAAGCCACTAACTTGTGGCCACAAACACAACAACAAAATGGTGAAAATCCTCCCTCTGTAACACAGGAAGCACTGTATTACACAATTTTCTGTTACAACCAAAATCAACTTTAAGATAAATTGACTGTCCAACAGCAGTCAAAATTATTTTTAAATAAACTTTTAATAGCTTTGTAACATAGTAACCTAACCATGATCTAACTTGCAGGAAAATCTGGTTTTGGCTTTTGCAGTGTTATTTCCTCTCTGTGTGTTTTTCTTTTTGGAGTTTATTTGAGTTTACTTAATGAGTGGATCTAAAGTCATAGCTGTGCTTTAGTTTTAAAGAATCCCTTTAGCTATTTTTATCAGGCAAGTAGTATGGTTACCACATTTAACCCAAAATAATGCACTCAAGTGCCAGTTGATTTAGACCTGGCATTATAAATGCTTGCAGTGGTAACACAAATAAATGGAGAGGTCTGCATCATGCCTTTGCATACTGTGATCTGTATGACAAGAGAAGCAAAAAAGCAGAGTAGCTGCATTTAAAGAGACACTTCCAGGATCAATTCTCCACTTAACAAAGAGGCCTTGTCTTTTTAATATTGTATAAAACATTTCACAGAAAAGGTGGCTGTGAGAATTCTTTGTAAGCAAGAACCTTCAGTGCTGCTTTCTTTTCTTTATGCTCAAAGAAACCACCATGTGGTCATCCCAGAACACTTAACCAAATGAAAAAAATATACTGCTGAATTAACTGGATTCTTGTTCTGTTTATTTTGCAGAAAAGCTGCTGTGTGGTTACTGCTGCTAAGAGATTTGAAAATATCAGCAGTCTCGGTGCTTTACCCCCCTGCCATGACTGAGACTTCTACTAAATGGACCAACAGCACTTTAGTTGCAGGACAAGTCCCAGCATTGTGGAGCTGCTTCTTCTCAATTCAGCTTTTAAAAGAAGCGAAGTATTTCTCTGGGTTGCAGGAACATGTTTCTTCTGGAGCAGCATGTTCTCCATGCCTGCAAGTGCTACATTAGCTTGGTTTCATAATGAACTTTTCTCTATCTAGTCTTATATCCTCATTTACTTAACAAAGGCTCCTTAATGTTTATATTATCATGTAAAATTAAGTGTTTCTCATCTAAACCCAGAAGGCAATCTGTCACTATATCTGTTGCCAAGGTTCATTTGACACTGGAGTCAAATAATTAAAAAAAAATGAAAAAACAAAGAATTGCAACAAATTTAAAGCTGCCTTCTGTAGAAAATTGGAAGTTCTTTTTCCTGTCACACTAAAGTGAGTTAAGGATTAGCTCAACCAGAGTTAAAGCCATGTTAATGTAACACCACTGGAAGGGAGAAATGAGGCTTTCCTTGTGTATAGGTGAATTTGCTGCAACTGTGATATGGTACATTTCAGGATTTTTTAGCCTGATGAATTACTGCTTGCTGTAAATACACTTGGATTAATTAAACAAGAAAGAGAATAAGGCACTATTCACTTGTACCTGTGCAGACCCTGTTCTCCAAAATGCAAGTATAATTCAGAGTTATTTTAAATAGGGTGATTTTATGACAGCGAATCTGTTTAATGCTAATTTAACTGATTAAGGCCACTGGCAAAGAGGTGAGTCAGCGCTTTGCTCATTATAACCTCTGAGTACAGGCTCAAGTAAAAATACTCTGTATTTCTAAGGTTTTCTTATCTTGCTCCCAAGCCTTTCTGATTCTTAACTAGGTAAAAAAATGGGAGTCAGAACAGCTGAGTTTTTCACCTGAATTTTTTTGATTATGGCTCACCATTAAGTGAATCTAAGTTGCCAAGACTCCAATGTTAAAATAATGACACTTACTCCCTGCTGTATATGGCTTTCTTACTGCTTGGTTTTGGAACTACATAAATGCAAATTGTAATGATTATTTTATTTAATCATGCTGTTGTGGTGTCTTTACATTGTCTTTGCTTAATCCAGTTCTGATCAAACCACATATACATAGCTATCTCTATATATTTATCTATGCGTTTCATAGGTTTATATATTTAAGTTCTGTCTTTTTAAAAAGGGATCAACATAAAGACAAAACAGTATTATTCATCACCACGCAATGAATTGCTTCTCACACCTTTGTCCTTTCTGGATAGCATTCATTTTGAAATAAAAAGGGGCCCATTAATGGGACATCATGGCCATCACACTCTCTACAGCTAGTTTGATCCAATGTTTTGAAATCATTGTAGTACATCCCTTAGGACTGCTCCTGTAAATGAACTGGGCTTCTTACAGCTGTGACATCTTACTAATACTGATGTGTTGCACCAGAGGTTGCGAATACTGACACATCATGTAACTTTTATACGATATAGAGCACTGCCACCTTCAAGTCCTCATCTATAGTCTTAAGTAAACTTTGACAAGCAGAAATAGAAGTTTCTTTGGGAAAAGACTGAGAGGTCTCAGAGCAAGAAAATGAGCATATGACTTTTAGATAGAAGCTGAACTGCTGGTTTTTAGTCACCTTGTCATTTGCCTGGTTATTTGCCTGGTCAAAATGAATAGAAAAATTGCCTTTCTGTTAGGCCTGGAGTTTCCACTTCTGTTCTGACTCTCTTCAATATGTTGTAGCTTTTTGTACAGTAAGCAATTCAATGATCAGGCTAAAATTCAGCAAAACCCTTTGGAATAACATGATCTCATTATGCACTCTAGTGCCATTATTGTAGAATTGGATCAGGGTTTTGTCTTTGGTAGATTTTACAAGGATAAATTGCATGTAATTTTGAATCTTATTAACTATACTAAAATAATACTGTGACTAGTCTTTTCTGCTTTGTTGCTAAGTTGAATTAAGAGGATTTATTATTTGTTGATATATACATCTGAGTAATAATTAAGAGCTTAGTGCCATGAAGATCAGCCCAGTGTTAGAGTGTGTTGCACTGAGTCAACCACAAATCCTCCAGGAGCTGTTGGTAAATGTGGCCTCTGTTGAGCACATCCCCCAAGTTCATCCATACAGTGCTCTGTCAGAAATAGGAACACATGGGAGGATAGAAGAGCTGGACTTATATCCCCCACCTTGAGAATTCAGGCAAGAGTTGAGGAGGGGACCCCTCAGGAACCTCTGGCTTGTGCAACGAGGCAGTGTGCTAACACAATCAAGGCATTGAACTTCCATTCTTAATAACATGGATAATGGTGGTCGCACTCTAGAGCCTTGTCTGTAAATTGTCCCACTGTTTCATTCTTGGAACAGTTCCTGCAGTAGGTGGTCAACTTGAGGGAGGGACAGTCAGAGGAGGATGGACTGAGCAAATCTCTGGAGTGACTGAAGGTGCCATTTGGTGTCCAGGGTTAAACCCAAGTGAGCCTGCAGGTTTCCAGCAGAGAAGGAAAGAATCCCAAGCACACTTCTGCTTTTTGCTGCACAGATGCTGGATCTGCAGCACCGAGTCAAAAGGGAGGTACATCACCTAGGGCCTGTCACCAAGGGTAAAAAATTATGCTGCTATGTAATCATCACTGCTGTGTATAGCAATGTGCCTGAGAAAAATGTCTCCAGAGATGTTCATTTGTGTCCTACATCCACCTCAACATGTGAAACAGGCTGCCCAGGGAGATCACTGTTGCAATCCTCTCCCACAGAGTCTCCCTCTCTGGAGACATTCCAAACCTCCCTTGATGTGTTCCTGTGTCACCTGCTTTAAGTGACCCTGCCTTGGCAGAGGGGTTGGACTGGATGATCTCCAGAGGTCCCTAAAAACTCTGTAATTCTGTGTAATTTTAGTAAATAATAGCTTGAGACAGATTCTTTTTAATGGCTTCCTAATTGTGTTGCACTTTGAGCAGCATGCTGTTTTGTGTGTATGCTCACATATGCAAGTTTGGTTTTACTTTGCCCTACCTCTGGAAACATTCAAGGGTGAGTTGGACAAGGCTGTAAGCAACCTGATCAAGTGGGTGACCTCATTTCTCATTGCAGGAAGGTTGAACTAGATGACCTCTAAAGGTCCTGTCCAACTCAAACTATTCTATGATTCTATGATTTAATGATTTAAATATGTTCTGTAATGACTAATAGCTAAAGCCTACTATGTTAAATTATTTTTTTGACACATCATTTATTTTCTACTAGGTCATAGTAATACTAAGGCTACTAGGTTCTAATAAGTCACCTACATCTGTGTGAGTTTGCTTATACTTTTTGATACATATTGGCTTACATGATTGCATTTGGAAACTGAATTTCTGTGCTTGTGAGCAGGTTTGGGTGTGAAAGGCACTGTTCTAGCTGCTGTTATTCCATTTAGCTGTATACTCACAGACAGGGATGACTGCAGGTACCTCAAGAGTGGTATAGAAACATCAGTTGCAGTGGAAGGGATCAAGTACCCAGATGCAGTGCTTGTTTTGTGCATTCTTCCTGACATGTAAAAATTGAAAAATAAAATCCTAGGAACATGACAGCTATCACCTGGCACTCATAAGAATCAGGACACTGTTATTCCCACTCCTATAGATGCAGCAGGTATACTAGAGTAGTCTAAGAGTGACATCTAGATTAGAAGTAAATATACTTGGTACAAGATGGGACACCAGTGGTTTTTCAACTGTTTTTATATGTTGTACATCATGAAGATTATGAAATGGGTAAAAACCTCTTCTGTAGGAAGATCTCCATACTACCATGTCTGTGTTTTTGAATGCCTGCAGCTCCTCTGGGTACTCTCACAGCATAAGCAGTTGGCAACCTGGGTAATCCACTCTGGAGATTACAAGAATAAATCCTTTTTAATTTGTTATTCCCTCTAATGTCAGAAGCTGAATAAACTTAAAGCCAAGCTAAATTCTTGATTCCAACAAGGAATAACAGGGTAGCTCACAGAAATAAATAAGGGAAGTGCTAGATCCACCTTTTGTGATGTGAGTAGTAGAAGAGCCCAGTTTAACAATCCCATCTTCCTGCCAAAAATATCTACTTTGCACCAGTCCTGATCAGTAAAAATAAAAAGAATCTTAATATTTTTAACAGTGAAGGAAGGAATCTCAATCAAGAAACAGTTTTTCTGCAGTGGTTAAATTGCTTCAATAAAAGTCAAGTTATTTTAGCATTTTCAGTTTAATGCTGACACTATAAATCACTGCCAGCCTCTTTCAGCAAAATGGCCCCCACCAGGAGCTGTGAGAAAAGAAGGTGTTTGTCAGCTCCTCTCCAGTGATGGAGACCTAGAAACATTGGATTCCGTTCTGCTGGATCCAGTGAGAAAGGCAATTCTTAGCTTTTGGACTTTTAATACCTGGTAACGGATGCAGTTTTGCACCCAGAGTACTGATGAATGGATGAATGAGCAGCAATGCTCCAAACTCCTTCCAGGAGGATGATGCATCTTCACATACCACTTTTATCAGCAATAGATACTTTTTCTTGTGTCTCCTGTGACTAAAACTAAAAACAGTGTGAATCCATGTAGGAGTGCTAGACTGTTTCACCTTCCATGAAGGCTTGGTAGCTGAACAACTAACTACCTGTTTCAAACCTAGATGAAGACTGGTAGAGGTAGTGCTTTGTAAATACGTTGTTTAGCTCTGTGTCTTTAGAGTTAGTTATCTCATTTTGGTATGGCAGAACTAATGTTTGTGTACCCCACAGCAACTTCCCTTGCATTTAGAAGACAGGCATGTGGCAACTGTATCATGAAGCATGTGGATTTTCATGTACCTTATCACCTTGGTTTGCATATCTGGTTTTGTAGATTAACTCATGTATCTCTGGTATGTGTTCTTTTGTGAAAACAATGAAGCAATCTTGTAAAAAGATGAATGAGGAATAAATGCTGATTTTGTTTACTCCAGGGTTTTTGTTCGCTGTACTTAATGTGCCTGTCATTTATGTTAGTGACAGAAAGAAGCGTGGCCTTTTTCCCAACTACTGTCTCTAGATACATGAAGAGAAAAGCAATTTCCATTGAAACAAATATGCCTGTGTCAAAGGTTGACTCAGGCTCACGGTTTGCACTCCTTGTAAAAAACCTCGTCTCTCCCTGCAAGTAACTGGGAGACTTGAGGTGCTCTTGACTGCTGGAAGTCCTTAAGACCAGCTTACTAAGGAGGAAATTAGAAATTACTGAAATTTCTGGTGTTTGGTTACTCAAGAGACCTGGTGTACTTTTCTCCCTAATTTGTCATACTTGCACCACTGGCCTATTCAGTATTGCCATCTGGGGGCTGCACTTTAACCTTAGGCCATCTAGGAGTTCATAGACTACCAAAACAGTACGGAATCAGAATTATTGTTTCCCAAAGAGTTAAATCAAAATTCAAGTGGGCTGGCTAGTGAAAAAAAATAAAGAGCAAGAGTAAAAATTGAGAAAAAGGTTACAGGGTAAGAAATCAGGAAGCAGCCTCTGATGGACACTGGCTTACATTCAGTAAGCAGAACTTTTTCTGTCTGGTTTACCCATAGCTCTGGTTGCAGCACTTGGGACATGCAC